ACCTGTATCATATCTATAAGCTACATTCCCTTAAATCCATTATTCATCTGAAATGATTCTGTATGATAATAATGAAATTATAATTCCTATTAAATTAGGTTACAAAAATATAAATAAATATATCAAAGAAGTAGAAATAAAAGAAAAGTTAAATTTTATTAGTTTTGTAATAGTTGCAATTCCAACAAAACTAAAAATAATAATTATATAACTAGAAGTTATAATTAAACTCCAAATAATTCGAAAGTATATTATTAAAATATTTGTGATATTAACTAAGAAGCAATCTAATGAATAAGCAAGTGATTAAATAGGATTACCAACACTATTAACAATTGAAGCTAATCCTATAGGAACTTACAATTAAAATGTAGAAATGGTTGATATTATTTAAAGATAATTTGTGAATACTTTAATAAGGATAGCAGTTTGAGCTTCTTTTATTGCTACTCTTACTCCAAAAGCCTTTAAACTTAATCCTTTTACAAATTCTTCAATAATTAATTTTGTACTACTTACTGACATCAAAGTTGAAATCAAAGTCCAAATGCTAACAAATATTATTGTAATAACATAATAAGCTATTTCATCACAACTTCCACATTAATAGGTTGAACTTACAGAATAAGATCCACTTCCTCTAGAATTATATAAATCACATTATTCACATAATGCTCCTATATGTCCTAATATACATGATTAATCTCCTGATCTCCAACCTCCTTAACAATTCTCTATTAAGTGATAACAATATTCAATATTCTCACTATAATAATATGCTCTCCAATAATGTTCTCTTAGTTCTATCATACTTGATTCCACTGATTTTATTTTAGAATCATCTTTATAACTACAATTTTAAGCTCTCTAAGATACTTAGTATTAATTTTAAAATTTATCACAAAGAACACATCCACCAGAAGTTTGATTTAAGAATTCACCTAATTAACAAGGAAATGTTCGAATATCAACTTATAATGAATAATTTGTGACATAATCATATATTTAAAAAGGTGGATTATTTTCATATAATGGGACATAAACACTACTACATTAAATTTATAATCGAAGAACTATATCTTAATCATAAGTAGGATTGAAATAAATTATTAGATTATCTAAATTATAATCACCACTTTATTCATCAAATTAGACATCATATTAGGACAAACTAAGTTAAATATCATATTCTTCTTTTTATGAACTTAAATTAAATGCTTTTGGTTATAAATTACATTCAGAACCTGATAAACCCATAATTTATTGTTAATAATTATCTAAGGCAATAATCCTAAATTTAAGATTATAAGGAATAAATTCTGATTTTATCGGATCAAAATACCTGTAATTCGCTATTGTTATTCCAGAAGGTAACATCAATTGAGAATTTTCAGATTAGGAACCTAAAGTCTTATATGGATTAATAATAATTTGTTCAACAATTTAATTATCAGCATTTTTTATTTTTTTTTTCTCTAAAAATGTTTGAAATACATTAACTGATAATGTTAATGATCTAGGTCTCTCCAAAGCATTAGATCCATATACTGTTGAATTATTATAATCCAATTATAAATCTAATTACTTAGTTAATTAAAGTGATTAAGAACTTAAATACAAACCTCCTGCAATCTTTGCCTTATTTTCAATTATTTTTGAATCCAAAATATATATTTCTTCATACTCAGATTAGTAATAAATAGCTCCTCCAATATCTGCTAAATTATTTTTTAAAATGCAATCCTTTATAATAGTATTAACCCTAATTATTAAAAGTGAACCACCATATTATGCAGTATTATTCATAAATTTACTTTTTTCGATGATCATTTAATATTTCATGTTATCCAAAAGATTTTCATAATTGTGTTATTACAATATTCGATAATTTATT